AACAGTTTTTTGCGCCGTAACGCTGAGATAGTAAAAAGTAGGACTCAACTAGCTTTCAATCGTAGCAATCAAAAATTGATTCGACATAAGTGTTTTTCACCTGGCGAGCATCTCAAAGTTTTGGGTTTCGAACCACGCTTCAGAATTAGCTCAATGTTTTCGCTTTCGTTTTGAAGAATTTTCTTTGAGCAAAAAAGTAGCATACAAACTGAACGTTTATACGTTATCACCTAGATGACTTTTGATCTTGTCAGCTTCACGTAGCATCTTTTCTCAAAAGCGTGCCCATTCAATGCGACTCAAACACACTTCAAAAAGGTTTTATTGCATTTATAAGACAGTGATGATAAAAGAATGTGCATTTAGGATATGCATACATCTGCGTGCATCTACTGTTCATTATGCAGCATTGTTCGGTGCCTGTCCAGTGCGTAAATAGCACACGTGGTTCTCAACAGCCTTATGCAGCAAAGGTAAAATTGTAGGTATATTGTTTGAGAAAAAAACAAAAATTCAACTAGAGCAAAACTACCGAAACTTTTTGACATGCAGAATGAAAAATGACTGCCTCAGGCTACTTTCGGCGAAGCTGAAACGTCTTTGAAAGCAACAGTACAGGCTGAACAGCATGAGGTCTCCAACACGCTCATTGGTTCCGATGCGGAGGAAGAAAATGCTTCGAATTCACCTGTTTTAGCGATAGTGACAAAGACTGTTGGGCAGCACATTACTCTACTACCCTCATCGAAAATCATGCAGTCAAAAACAGAAAAGGAAACAACGTTAAAAACAAAGAAAAGAACTTTAGTAGCTTCAACTCGAACGTCAATCACTGCAGCGCCTACAACAACGACAACTACGCCTTCCGTTGGGCGGGTGACAAATACGCCACAAGAAGAAAAGGAAGCAAAAGCAGCAACATCGGCTGCAGTGGTGGGAGGTGGGACCGAACCAAAGCAAGACCAGCAAGATGTTTCCACAGAAGAGCCTGATGACGATGACGACGAAGAATCTGACGAGAACACTGAAGATACGAAAATTCCAATAGATATTGCGCGATCAACGATCGCATCGCACTTGGACGAGAAGCTAAATGAAACCGTCTCTACAACCCATTCTTCGAATGAGAATGATGATACGGAGGTAAGCTGCACTACAGATATTTCTCTGTATTTCAAGTTCCGGTATAACGCAGATTTTTGTTTCAAATTCTTATAAAAATAGACCTCTATATAAAGCAATTTGATTGATATACTCAAGACTCAAGGTAAATACAAAAGCCAAATACCAAAGTCAATTTTCTTAGCACTGGATTGTAAGGCATGTAAGACATGTTTCCAATTTCGAATTGGTTGGTTCAAACAAAGTGCAAACCATGCAAGAATGCTGACATCAAATAAATCTTATATATCTGCTGAATACATTTGTGGACGAAGTTATGGCAGTTTTTGTGTAAAATCTTACATAAGTACTGCAAAATTAGGCGCGTCGTCTTTTAGCTTGTTTAAAGATATCGTTTCTATAGGACAAACTAGCTATGTCTGGACTGACTTAAGCTCAACAAAAACCTGTAACCTCGAGTCATTTGTAACTCAATATGTGAGACTGC